CAACCAACGCCCACACCTTCCACGTCTGAGCACTTGTCCACAGCGGCGATTACCAGTCTGGATCGGCTGCGCGGCGCCAAATCTGCCCGCCAGCCAGCGGGGCAGAGCAAGTCTGCTTTGTCACGCTGGGAGCTGTGCGCCGCTTCTCGCGTAAACACTGCCGAGCACCGCGCGCATTTTAAACATCGGCCTCCGGATGGGCCACACGCCGCAAGAGCGCCCCAAGACGGCCCAAGAGGCCCCAAGAGGCCCCAGAGAAGCCCAGTGCAGAAGAGGCCCCAAGAAGCCCCCCAGACACCTCCAAGAGGCCACAAAGAAGCTCCCAAGAGGCCTCGCAACGACTGGACTGTTCGTGATCCGGACGTGCACCCCGCGAAGCGAGAGGGATCATCTCGGGATTCTGGAGGGGCGGGGCTCACTGGACCCTCCCTCCCCCCCTGGCCTCCGAGGATCACACCCTGCAGGAGCTCCCAGGCGCTGAAAAAAAAGGCCCCCCGCCTTCTGCGAGCCCCCTTCCCCCCGCCTTATCCTCGGAGGCCGTCCCTCTCGCGACGAGCCGCTGCCGAGGGGAAGCGGCAGGGGGAGACCGGCTCCGAGGGGGAGGCGTCGAGCTCGAGTGAGCGCTGCATCGCCGACGGATCGGCGACAGGCTCCCTGTGGCGAGGCCGCACGTTCATGGGCAGTGCGGGCTATCACGCATCCCCGCGCCCTGATCCGTGTTTACCTATACAGTTCCTCGAGCATCGGCGACGAGTGGGCGTTCGTGGCTCGACCCGTGCCCCCCTGAGCCTATCCCCCGCCCCTGCGGTCGGATTTTCTTGCTTGGCGTGTCGCCGAGGCAGCGCCGGCGACACGCTGTGCCCTGCGAGTGGAGAGCGGGTCGCTCCGCTCCGCGGGGCGGGAGGCTGGGAAGAAACGCTCGGGACTGTGCAGCCTGGGAACTGGGCGGTGGATAGCGTGTGGCGCCCAAGCGTGATCAGAAGCGGCGGACCGACACGCTACCCCAAAAGAGGGGATCGAAAAGTGACACAACCCCAAAAAAAAGCTCGGAGGTCCGCGCGGATTTCTTGGATCCGCGCTGGACCCCCCTCCCTGGTGCGCGGAGCGCGCCAGCGGCGGCGCCGGAGGCGCCGCCAGGGGGCCCCAGCGCCGATCCAAGAAATCCGCGCGGACCTCCGACTTATTCTCTTTGTTCGCTCCCCTACAAAAATGCCCGGCCGTAATGCTGCCCCTGACTTCTGCGCGCCGCCAACCTCTGCTGCCGCCTGCGCGAGTGGTGGGCGCCCGGGTCGGGAGCGCCCGTGCCCGCGAGCGGCCCGGCGGCGTCGGAGGCGCCCTCGCCCACGGCCTCGCGCTGGAGTCGCTGCTCCTCCCGCGCGTCCGCCTCCTGGCGCTGCCGGAGCTCCTCGGCCCGGCGCAGCCTCGCCTCCTCGACCTGAGCACGCACCAATCCAACTCCTCCTCCTCCCCCTCCTCCTCCTCCTCCTCCTCCTCCTCCTCCTCTTCTATCTCCTCCATCCCCTCCGCCTCCTCCTCTCCTCCTCCTCCTCCCTCCTCTTCCTCCTCCCTCCTCCTCCTCCTCCTCCTCCTCCTCCTCTTCCTCCTCCTCCCCTCCCTCCTCCTCCTCCTCCCTCCTCCCTCCTCCTTCCTCCTCCGTCCTCCCCTCTCCTCCTCCTCCTCCTCCTCCTCCTCCTCCTCCTCCTCTGCCCGGGCCCTGCGAGGCCAGCGGGCCTGGGGCACTGGGACCCTGCCCCCGAGACCCTTTTCCTTCATCCTGGGCGGCTGCCTCAACGGCCCGTCTGTGAGAGGGCCTCCAAGATAATTACCCCAAGCGGCCTCCAGGAGGCCTCCTGGAGAGGACCCCCAGAGGCAAAACTCATTCATTTTCCCGTGTATGTTTGTTGAAGGGCCTTGTCGTTCTCGCCTTTTTCCCCAATTCGGCTTGGTTGGCTAGGGTGTTCTTACTTAGTTACAAGTTGGTGCCTCGGAAGGCTACTTTGCCCATTCCTCGGAGGTTCCCCGGATTCCTCGGGTTCCCCGGGTTCCTCGGGCTCCTCGGGTTCCCCGGGTTCTCCCTGGGTTCCCAAGGTTCCCCGGGTTGCAAGTTCCTCGGGTTTCCCAGATTCCCTGGTCTCCCCAAGTTTCGCGGAATCCTGGGGGATCCGAAAGAACGTCGAACCAAAATCGCGTGCCGTCTTCGCGCGTTGGAGGACATCTGCTTTGGGGGCTGACCGCGATGGTGTCTCCCGCCGACTGGCACCCGGCTTGCAGGCCCCATTGGACTGCTGGAGCTGCGTTGCGGAGAATGACTCTGCCGGCAGAGTGCCGCCAGATTCAGAGCAAGCGAGTGCAGCGAATGCGGACATGAAGGGTGTGGCGCAGGCGGAAGCTTAAAACATGTAGGCCAACGACTACGGATGTATGGTTACGTACACGGTTGAAGAACATGTTCCTATGCATGACGTGAAAGGGCCCTCGTGCTGCACACACACACACACACACACACACACACACACACACACACACACACACACACACACACACACACACACACACACACACACACACACACACACACACACACACACACACACACACGCACGCACGCACGCACGCACGCACGCACGCACGCACGCACGCACGCACGCACGCACGCACGCACACGCACACGCACACGCACACTGGCCCGCTTGTGGCCCAGGCTGCCCGGGCGCGCAGTGCGAAGCAATGGCAATCCATGCGAATGAGTGCCAAACAAGGCAACGCACTGTCAAGCAATGCCGCAGAATATTGAGCAATGGAATATGAAGTAAGATGCAATGTCTTTGGGAATACACCGAACCCCAGGTTCGCCACGGATTTCAAAAGGAATTTTGCTGCGACCCTTGGGTTCGGGTCAATTTGGTGAATGTTGTAGGAGACGCCTCCTGGAAGATGCACGATCGTGCAAAGGAATGACGTTCGGGGTCCTTCGTGTGGCCACCACACGGGCTCGCTCGTGGCCCAAGTCGCCCAGTCGAGCAATGCAAAGCAACGGAAAGCAACGCCTCATCGTTCCTAATCGTACTTCTCGTCCTTCCACGCTCGCGCCTGGAATTGCGAATAATCTCCCGTCTGCCGCAGGTCTTTTTGCGAAGGCTCCACGTTGGAGAACCTCTTGGGAGCCTCACGAATGCCTCTCAAGGGCTCTGGGGACCTCTGGAGGCCTCCTGGACGCCTCTTTGGGCCGTCTTGGGGGTCCTTTTGAAGCCCGTGTGGGCCGTCTTGGGTCCCTCTTGGGGCGTCCTGTTCTTGGGAAACTTGGGCCCTCTTGGCGAACTCCCATGGCCCTCGTGGGTCTCTCTTGGGAGCCTCTGGGGGCCTCGTGATCTTCTTTGGGGCCGTCTTGGGGCAGTCTTGGTGTCCTCCTGGCCCGGCTTGAAGCCCCAATGGGGGCCTCTTGGGCCGCCTTGGGACGATCTCGCAGGCGTCTTGGGCCGTCTTGGACGCTGCTACGACACAAAAAGCGAAGATACTAAAGATGCACGTTTTCTTTAGGGTGCGGGGCGATGTTTAGGGATACAGGACTGGGGATCAGGGATTCGGCCCAGGTCGTTTCCCGACGGTCCCGAGGCCTGGTGAGGGCCCCTGGAGGCCGAAAACGGCCGACTTCTTCCAGTCGTGATCTCTCTCACGACGCGAATGGACACGAGGGGAACCCGTTTCCCTCAAGGCCCGCTTGCTTGGGCGCCCGAGTTATCCGGGGTGACTCTGGTCCGGGGTAACTCGGGTTTGGATTCCCGGAAAAGGAACCCGAGTTAGCCCTGACCCGAGTTACCCCTGATGATGTGGGGCTCTGGACGCCCAAGTTATCCGGGGTAACTCGGGCCCGGGGTAACTCGGGTTCGGAATCCCGAAAAGCGAACCCGAGTTAGCCCTGACCCGAGTTACCCCTGATGATTCGGGGCTCTGATTTCCCTCAAGGCCCGCTTGCTCCATGGCGAACCTGCTGGGCCAGGGACCGCTGCAGGTCGGCCTGCTGCTGCCGCCGCCGCCGCTCCAGCTCCGCCTCGCCCGCGCCGAGGCCCGCGGCCACCGGCGGCGGAGCCTCGGCGTGGCAGGCGCCCGGCGGAGGCGCGGGGCCCCCGCCGGCCTCGTCGCGGCGCAGGCGCTGGTCCTCACACCTCCGGGGGTACCTCCTCCTCCTCCTCCTCCCCTCCTCCTCCTCCCCTCCTCCTCCTCCTCCTCCTCCCCCTCCTCCTCCTCCTCCTCCTCCTCCTCCTCCTCCCCCTCCTCCGCCTCCTCCTCCACCTCGTCCTTCGTCTTCTCCTCACGGGGGGGAGGAGGAGGAGCCTGGAAGCTCCAGGCGGAGCTTGGCAGAACAGGCAAAAACAGCCACAACAGGTTCAAAAAGCGCCAAACGAGACTCGAAACATCGTCCCCTGACGATCGGTTCGACTGTTCTTGACTACTCCTCCCGTATGGGAGGCACTTGACCGACTTCACCCGAACCGCCTGCGCGCCCTCCTCTCCTCGATCTGCGCCGCCAGCGCCGCCTGTGGGGAAACCAAAAGCTACCGATACCGCGAGTCCCGGAACCTCTCCCGGGGTGCGTTCTGACCAGGATCTCGAGGCGAATCCAGCGGTGGCGACGAGGGCCGCCCAGGAGGCCCGAAAAGTGGGAAAACGGGCGGGGGGGGTTGGAGGTATGGGTACCCTTTCCTCCTCTGAGCCTGCACATCCAGCTGCTGCCTCCGCCGCCTCTCCCGCGCAGCCTCCTTAGAAGCCTCCTAGATGGTGTCGCAGTAGATAGGGTCGAAGGATCGCGCTGTATCGCCGATACATCGGCGATGCATCGGCGATGCATCGGCGATGCACCTGCGATGCATCGTCGACGTCGGCCATGCATCGGCGACGTCGACGTGAAGCAAGTCGGGCTGCACAGCCGCATCGGCGATGCATCGGCGATGCGGCGCGATCCTCCGACCCCGTCTACTCGGACCCCATCAGGGAGGCCCAGACTCCTCCGCCTCGGCGGTGGGCAAGAGGCCGGCAGCGGCCGCGGGAGGCGCGCCCTCTGGCGCGCGCGCCGGCGCGGAGAAGCCGTAGCCCGCCATGCCGCGGCGGCGGCAGACCGCGGGGGCCGCAACGGCGGCATCGCCGCCGCCGCCGCCGCGCGCGCCGGGGACGCGGGCGGCGCGGCCCGGGCAAAGGTGGCCATGCCGCGTGAGAGGAACGTGGGCTCTCCTCCTCCTCCTCCTCCTCCTCCTCCTCCTCCTCCTCTCCTCCTCCTCCCTCCTCCTCCTCCTCCTCCTCCTCCTCCTCCTCCTCCTCCTCCCCCTTGAACGTCCCGGGTGGTGTGTCGAAGGCACCTGGGAGGGACACGGCTCGGCGCAGAGGGCCAGGATGGTAGAGAGGGGAGGAAGCCACCACAGGGCACCTGCGCCCCGCACGGCGGCAGCAGAAGACCCAGTGGCCAGGCCCTCGCGACCCCCGTCGGAAAGCCTGAGAAGCGCGGCCTTCCAAAGCGTGTGTGGCAGGGGGCGCCCAGGGGGAGGAGCACTGGAGCGCGGGAGCAGCAGAAAGAGCACGTTTGTTCACCATGCCCGATTCACGTCACGATTCGCGCTGGCGCCGCACTCCCAAAGATATCTCTGTTCACCATGGTTGCCCGCTTCGTTTCACTGTATGTGTCTCTTCGTCCCTTTTCCAATCAAATGGGCAGGGTTTCTGAATGGGCTGGTGGGAATACTTTTTGGTCAGCGGGCGGACGCGTAAAGCAGTCGCCGAGAGGGTAGTCCGGGGCACGGGCCAGCCTAATTAACTACCGAGCCACGCGCGAGACGGCCGGGCCAGCACTCAGAAGCGGCGCTGGTGGGAATACGCGAAGCGTGAAGAATTCTCTAAGACCCTCCGCCGTGATTTTCCATGACGCGAGGGGGTCTGAGGCATCGGCACCGCCGGGAGAAGTGGTAAGCAGAGGGTCCTCGCCGCTCGATACAAGGCTGGTCAAAATTCGGCAAAAACGGTCCCCCGATCCCTGCCCGGCGGCCTTCCCGGCTGGCTTCTCTAGGCGGCGAGCGAGGGGGGGGGAAGTGAGAAGGGGCGGGCCTTCTCAGAAGGCTCAGAAGCCCCGAAGCCTTCTGAGAAGTTTCCCAAGTGAGAAGGGGCGGGCCTTCTCAGAAGGCTCAGAAGCCCCGAAGCCTTCTGAGAAGTTTCCCAAGCCTTCCCCGAAGACACGGGAGACTTCTCGGAAGGCGCGTGAAGGCTTCTGAGCAGTCCCGCGGCCTTCTGAGAGGGCCTTCCCCTCCCCTCGCTCGCCGCCGATATCCTCGAGCTGCGCCCCGCCGCAGCGACGAGCACCGCCGCCGCCGCCGCCGCCGCCTCGGGAAGGCAGAGGCCGCGGTCCTCCCCCTCCGCGCTCAGGGCGTCGGCCCAGCCCAGCGACAGCACGTC